TTATGGGGACGGGAGGATCCGGTGCTAGGAGCGGGAGATGTACTACGCGGGCGTTTCGCAGTCGACGAATCCGCCCCACTTACCGTCGGAAGAGGAGCAGAAACGCTAGCAGCCTGAGAGGGCCCCGACAAGGGAGGAAGTGGATCCGAGACGGCAGCTGTCACCAGCGCCAGTCGTCGACGTGCCAAATCGCGCTCCGACAGGCCGCGATCGCGCTCCAGGATCAGCTGTTGCTGCTGAGTTTGGGCTGCGGAAAGTTGATCCTGGAGTTTCGCGGTGGTCGCATCTGCTTTCCTCAATTTGTCACCTAGATTGACAATAACAAGTGAATATGGAGTTACTAGCAAGGGCTAAAAGAGGATCCACGTACTCATGCGGCGAAGCTTGGATTCCAGCTCCGTTAGCGCACGCTCGGCATCCGCCCACTCGGTAGTCGCCTTGTCCCGCTGGAGCTCGCTGTCTGCCAGTTTCGTTTGGATCTCGTCCCGCAATCGAGTCATACGCACGAATTCTTCAAGCGCGTAATCTCGTCCGGCAGACGCCCTCTCGAGCGACTCCTTGGTGTCTTGCAACTCCTCAGAGAGTTGAGCCAGGGCTACATCCGGCGACGAGGGAGGTGGATTTGGCGCGGGGGACCCTCCACGCGCCGACCCTAAGGCGGATCCGTCATGGGCGGATCCCACATAGTCGTTGGTCACCACCTCCTCCTGGGCCAAACGCAACTCGTCACGGAGGCGGTCCAAGCTCACATCCGCAGCTGCCCTAGCAGTCTGGGAATCCTCCAGATCCCGCTCGAGGTCGTGGATCCGGGATTGGAGTTGGTGGATCTCAGATCCGGCGAGTGCCATCTCCCTAAGGAGATGGTCGTTGTCATCTCGCATAACGTCTCGTTGACGGGAGGCGCGATCCAGCCGTCCGGTCAGGTCGCGGATCTCGACCGCCTGATCAGCCAACAGGAGTCGCAGGTCCTGCGACCGAGAGGCCGCACGGTGCTCCCACCCCTGGATCTCCATCGCTTGGTCATGGATTTGGGCCCGCAAGGTCTGAAGTTGGGTAGTGTGTAGAGACGCAGCTTGGTCTTGGGCATCTTGAGCCGTCTGGAGCTCCGCCGTCAGGGTTTGCACCTGATCGGAAAGAGCCTGGGCTAGAACCCGCAGATCGGTGGGCGACATGGAAGACGGACTGACCGGAGGTGTGGTGGATGGGACCTTGCCCGACGATTTGCCGGTACGCTTGGCGGGAGACATGTGTCGCGAAGGGGAGAAAGCGGTTGTGGATGCTGGTGATGCACGTCGTGGACGCTGTTGTGCAGCGCCGACCACGTACAGGAGGCGATTGTGGTGAAGTGCTTTCTCAGAAATAAGAGAATGGTCCTGACGCGGGGTCACTATCCCGAATCAGTGACAATTTCAAGTGATTATAGAGGATTTGGGTTGTTTGGCACGGGTGCAAGTTGCCTGTGGTGGATTAGCCATGGCGAGCAGCACCTCGTATGGAATGACGATGGATCTGATATGAGCGATGTACGAGAAGGCAAGATCCACCAAGACTTACCTCGGATCCACCCTTACCTGGATTCACTAAGATGGATATGGGATATACTATACAAGAGTGAAACGCAAAGGCAAGGGAACACCCGCAAGGCAACCCTACGGCCAGATCCACGATCTAGGCCCTGGATCCACAAGCTCGAATATTCGCTTAGGATACGGAACCATCCACGGACGCAGAGTGAAGATTTTCCACTGCTGCTCCACCCCATCCCCACGTCTCGCCAAGACACTCAAGCTTCACCACTTGAACTCGTCGGAAGTTACCGAGAGAGCAGATCCCGCCCTACCGACGGGTACACAAGGTGAGGAAAGTTCAGCAGAACACGGATCATCGGGGGACCCCCTCCGTTAGTCGGTGTCTGGGCGCAGTTGGTAAGTTGGATCTGGCAATCTCGCAGATTTTGCTGATCCCGCTACACCACACAACCAGTCATGCATCAAGATGATCAAGAACCCAGTGAACCATACAAGCACATCGATATTAAGTACCATCACATTCGTGATGATGTCAAGCGCGGTGAAGTCAAGCTGGAGTACTGCGAGACCTCTGTGATGCTGGCGGATATCATGACGAAGACGCTTCCGGGGCCACGTCACAAGGACTTTGCGACGGCGCTCGGAGTCAACGCGTGTTCGCATTGAGGGGGCGTATTGAGGGGTACCGGTTTCAGACGGTAAATACCCATAAACGGGTAACCCAAACCGGCCCAACTCGATCCCGCGATGATTATGGTACGTTGATTACGCTACCGATGATTAGGCGAGTAGGATGATTGGACGAGTGTTGGTGATTGGATGCGCCAAATGACTGGATGACCTAGGTAGTGAGGACAGTTTAAGCTCCGATAAATCAATCACTTCGGAATCTTCATTCTTCCCCTCAAGTGTCTTCACTCCAGTCTTCTCCCAGAGTCGTGACTCTTCCCTTCGCTTCGAACAAGCCTAAAATTTCCAAGACCCGTGACCTATATCAATGTCCGGACTAATTTACTAAATTTTTGTACATAGAAGATAAGGGTTTAAAGGATTATAAGAGAGTAAGGGTCAGCTGACCCTAACAACAACAGAGCCGAATTTTTTCTGGAGCACACAAGTTAAGCGTCGAGGTAAGTACCTTACACTTAGTGGTCCTGTAGGGTATGCGTACCAATGAACAGCGACATTCCTGAAGTTAGCGCTCGTTTTCGATCAGACCAAGAGACTAGTTGAGCGTTTGTGTTTTGGTTTATTCGCTTTTTGAGGGAAATTCGGGTACTGCCTTACCGATATTAGAGATCTCGAACTTGATCGTATTACCGCAGATAACTTACAGTCTGAGTTATTCTCGGGCACCCCCGTAAAAGAGTCAAGGAGGCTAGGAAATCTTCCGCTGTTGGTGCCACGGGGTATTAAAGAGACGAGGGGGGGAGACATACAGGCGAAGCTCGCGCCTGTTACGTTTGAGTGTTTTGCCTACTAGCGTAGACAGTAAGAAAAGGAAGCATCGACTCAGGGCGATGGGTCTTATTTGGTTCCTTCAGGTACGCCCCAAGTTTTGCCAGCCGTCGTGGAAGGTCAATTGTTGTGCGCAGAGGCTCGGTACATATTTTGGTGAATCTCTGCATCACTCTACGTTATCCTCGGCCACAGCAAGCCGCGGCATGAAAGGGATCACTGGACCAGGTGTTGGAGCTGTGGCGCTTATTTAATAAAGACTGTGCAACTTAACAAGGGGCTAGGGCTTTTGTTAGATATATCGTATCTGTTTTAGAAGGGATTAAGCTGCCGTAGTTGCCCCAAAACGGTCAGGGCAGCTGGGGCAAAAATGATGGAATATTATTGGACAAGAAAATTGCCCTAGATAACCTGCCCCCGAATGAAACACCCCCCTAAAAACCCTCTCAAATGTACTGCCAAATCACTTGCATAATGAAGCTGTTGAAGTGTGGGATTCAACGGAAACCTTGCTTTTACTTAGTACAAGCCTGAGTCCCCGCCCTATGACCCAGTCGGCCGGACAAATAAAAGGACATAATCTTCGCTGTATTTTCTTGGAAATACTGTCCCGAAGACCGACCTTAAATTAGTGGTTCTCACAGGATAGCGTTCCATCAGCGTTCCGAGAATCTGATTGGGTAGTAAAACATGCGATCTGCTAATCTGCCAACCGTGAGAACCACTATTATAATACATGTACTATAATTTTGAAGACTAGTCTTCGTTCTAACCGCGCGTGAGCCAGTCTGGTGTCCTCGTGGTCGTAATAGTAAATACAAAAATGTCACTACTAACATATGAAATTGATCATTTTGTCCTACCGATAGAACAAAAATGCTGAGTTTACTTAAGTTGAGAATGTCTAACTGGCGACGATTGCTAGTTTTAGCTATCAGTGCATGTTGTGTTACAACGGACACACGACAGATCCTGAATTCGAAATTGCTCCTTACAAATATAAAGTCAAATTGTGCGTCTCATAGGCAGGGGCCAAATATCATATGATCTTTTTGATATTAATAGTACTATTTCGATATTAAATATTAATAGTAGCTCATTTTTGCAAAAAATGACATAATATTTTAATATTAACTCGGAGAACTAAAAAATACTAGATACTACTTGATATTTTATGATATTTCCCCACTTAAGTACGTTTCTTCCTCTGTGAACCGAGCGGAGCCAAATTACTTTTTCGATCAGGTTCTAGAAAAGCAGTAAGGCTTTAGTATTTGCTCTAGTATTTCACTGTGCAAACGCTTGCAGCTGTTTAACGTTGATAGAGCGAAATCAAGACATTTGTTCTTGTTCTCTACCGATCTCCTCGTCCACATCGTGCGTCTAATAAACCTGCTGCCTGTGGCGCTAGATTAATGCGCTCAGCAGTGCCAACGCACGACGCCAACCTTGCCGTCACTCTCACAATTGTCCCTCCCTCACGGTAGATTACTAATACTTCAGCTAGTCGAGTGTAACCTATATATGATTAGTTAATTTAGCCCGATTACGCAATCTTTAAAATATAATATCGTATTAACTAATATTAAGTTGATATTTAATAATATTATATTGTCTCAGAAGAAAATATTAGGTGATATTTTTTATATTAACTGGTCTACAGATGATATTTATACAATATTAACTTTCACCGATTTTGGAGTTACCATTAACCCCTGCTCATAGGACACATTCTGATTGGAGATACTGTAATATGGTCGCATTTGTGCTGATGATTTGTTCTTGCCAATTTGAGAACTGCAACCATGAAACGCCAAATTCTAGGCTCTCGATTGCAAGTGTATTAGTATTTCGGCTTTTCATCTTCACCTGAAAAACCTTTTTTCAGGGGCTCCCGATAATGAAGCGCAGTGGTTTCGTTGAAAGGTCGGCTTCGAACGATTTTACCGGTTCTCTCACCAACGCTTAAATTTCAGAATCCATGGATATATGCCAAAGTTCGACAACAACTACTTACTCGTCCCAAGGAATTTCTCATTTCGTCAGACTTAATATTTACTCGGGGGTTGGTGCGGGTCTTCCAATGCGATAGACCTTCACAGGTTGAATCGACGGCCGTGAGAGCTGAATGGTCCTAAGCTTCTCGGTCAGATCGTCCTCTTCAGTGCGTTCGTGCTCAGGACCTGAACTCGAATTTGTCGAGTGCGTTGGAGTCTGCTTCTCCCCGCTGGGACTACCAGAAGGTAATGAACTCAGCACTGTTGCAGCCGATTTGGTTGACACGAGAGCAGTAGGACTAGATGGAGCGCCATCAGGTGCGAGGGCCCTTGCTGGAGGCGCATTATCACTGACGCTGCTTGGAGGAAGCAGTTTGAGAGCGTCCTGCTCTACCTCTTTATCTACCATGCTCTTGAAAAAATGTTCAGCTCGAGCGTCCACTACGATGCGGTCCACCTCACTTAAAATGGAGAAGTTCGTAGCGTCGGCGTTCTTGGCATAGAAATTGTGCATCACCTGTCGCACCATTTCCAGCTCGCCGTTAAGCATGGCATCCCGCTCGCTCTCGTATTTGGCAAACACGCGATAGAGGTCGAACGTCACAGTTTGCAGCGCCGCCCGAGCCTTGTGTAGCTTTTGTTCGTTGCGCTCCAACCGCTGCGAAGACTTCCCGGAATCTTTTTGTTTCCGCAGCTTGTTGAGCTTCTGTTCATATCGGTCGAACTCGAGCTTGATGGCTTTGCGATAGGAAATCTGCGACTGCACCGACTTCATTGCGTTGATGTGAATCTCCAAAAAGCGCACGGCACCGGACAATACAGCGTCCTGAACAATATAACAGGAGTTGGAACACGATGAACGCAACCGTTTCTCCCTAGTTATTTGCACCAATTGCAAACGTCACATACCGCGTTGAAAAAGTGTTTTTTGGCCTCCTTGGTCTCGTTGATAGCGCACATGGCATGTCGAAACTTCTCCGCGTCAGCTCCCTTGCCAACAGCATCCACACTTACAACACACCACACGTCCGCACCAAGACTGGCACATGAAGCGCAGTACAGTGGGAGCGCCATCGTGCGGTAGTGCTCCAGACTCTTACGGATGTCCAGCAGCTTTTGCAGCAGCCCCAGGAATCGCTGTTCATGCTGCTCGTACACATCGTCGGGGGATGCCAGTTGCTGCTTAAGCCCCATACCACCAGAAACGTCATTTTCCGCTATTTTCAGAGCCGAGCAAAGTGGCGTCACGTACCTTGTGCACCCGACACATGATCTGGTACTGCAGTTTGCGCTTGTGATGCAGCCACACCATCCTCCGGCGCTGCAGCATCACACTCACTCCGAGGGACTTGTCCGAACCCCACTTCCTGTCCGTCCTGTAATGAAAGCACGATCTTGGAGAAGCTGCATATTAATACACACCACTCGCCTCGTCCTCAGCTCATAAGACAGAGCCAAACTTATTAATAGCGTTAGGCTTATTTCAAAAAATAAAGAAATCCGCGCGAAAATTTGAGTTGCATCTACTATCCAATATACAGTACATCTCCTAAACCATTTCTTTAATTCCTTCGATCAACACAAATATGCAATCTCGAAGTCTTAGGAAATAGATACCCGCAATTTGTTGTCTGGTCGTTAGGCATCAATCAATCAAAGCAAGTCCGAGTCGAGCCAGATGGCCGAAGCAAACCCCGCCAATGACGCTAGCCGTAAGCGGAAGCGCCAGCGCCGTAAGAACCGCAAGAGCAAGCAACTGTCACCGCAGCAGGGCCACTACGCCGATCCGCTCTCGCCTATTGCCTCCACGCCCATGAAGCTCCAGCACGCCAAGTCGACAGGTACAATTAGCACTTCCGGTAGCAATCCTACTGCAGTGTATTTGATCATTCAGTTCCGTATCACCTAGATCACAGCAAGTCCACCAAGTCCAAACACGCGCCACCGTCTGATGCTCGCAACGAGAACGTGTCCAAGTCCGAAGTGGAGGAAAAGCTCCACTCGCCGCGGAAGTTGCTGGAGGAATACGATCAGCAAGACAAGGATGTGAAGAAACCGAGAGCAAAGAAGGCGCGTACTCTCAACTACGACTCGGCGTCGTCTGAGAAGCAGGGGGAAAGTGCAGACACCAGTGCCAGTGAAGACGCCAACGACGAGCTGTTCTCGCCCGCACTAAGGCCGCCGAGGGCCTCGCGATCGACTAGCGCGTCTCCACCTAATGCTCGAGCACGATTGGAGTCAAAGTTTGCACACAGGAGTGCACAGCCTGACGAAAAACTGGAGGAGGAAGCTACTGAAGAGGAGGAGACGGTGGATGCAGAGGAGCAGGACGACGAAGACGCCACACCTCTGGAGCAGGAGTTCAACCCGTACGGACTGAATTGCCATACAATTGTCTTTTATGGATAGTGTGATTGCTGATGGTGAGCTATTGCTACAGATTCTACTTCATGAAGACTTTGCCCAAGTATGAAGATATCGTTGAAGGTAAACGACCCATTTCACTACCAGAGAGGTCACACAATGCGCCCAAAATCTGCCTAGTTTTGGATTTAGACGAGACTCTCGTGCATTGTAGCGTAGACGAAGTGAAAAACCCGCACATGCAGTTCCCGGTGCGTTCATTCGGTGACACTATAACTGTTGGAGAACTCGTTGCTCATCCTTTGCCTTATTTGCCAACCAGGTCACTTTTAACGGCGTAGAGTACATCGTCAACGTGAAGAAGCGCCCGCATATGGAGTATTTTCTCAAGCGCGTGTCGAAGCTCTTCGAAATTGTGGTCTTCACCGCATCCCACAAGGTGTACGCTGAAAAGCTGACGAACATGCTGGACCCGCACCGCAACCTCATCAAGTACGTACCTCAACTGCTCGTGCTCTTCTTGATAACATTGACTCACGTGCTCGCTTGGGTACAGGTACCGATTGTACCGAGACGATTGTCTTGACGTCTTTGGTAACTATCTAAAGGATCTCAATGTCCTTGGGCGCGATCTATCGAAGGTCGTGCTGGTAGACAACTCGCCGCACGCATTCGGATACCAAGTGAACAACGGCATTCCCATTGAGACATGGTACGATGACGCGGCGGACGCTGAGCTGCTGAACCTGCTACCATTTCTAGAAAGCCTCGTAGACGTTGACGATGTGCGGCCGATCGTGGAGAAGCAGTTCCAGATCCAAAAGCTTATCGATGCCACACCCGACGAGGTCGTCTAGATCGTCAACTACAGTGCGAAGGATGGCTAGGTAGTGCATCAACGCGTTCATGTATTAGTTATGCAGATCTGTCATTGGTCAAAAAAGCGTTGAAATTTACGTAGTATGCTCTTTGATTGGCTCACTCCAAATTTAAGAGCACTTGATACTGCACTTCCAGTAACCGCAGGAAAATATGCCGATGGAAACCAGCTACTTGAGTGGTAGATAGAAAATCTGAAAGTGAATTGAAAGTCGTTAGCTTCTTTCTAGCCCTGCTGCTTCAAGCAGTCTACTCCAAAAGATAAACGATTATTGTAACGGGGTACGTAGCCCTTAGTGTACCCTGGTTACATGAAGTGTGACACGTTCGGGATATTTGGTACAAAGTACCAAGGTCGTCCGACATTGAAAGACTTCCAAGCGCGCGGACCAAACCTCTCCCATCTTGGACCATGCGTACAAAACTGGTACCAAACATTGGTCAGACCCAAATTACGTCTCACCAACCCATGCGCTTGGTTCGGACCAAGCAATCTGATTAGAAGGGTTTACCCCAATTTAAATGTTAAGTACGAAAACTACCATACAAATTCTAATCTAGGTCAAGAGCTGCGTACATTATGTAGGAGGCGGACCTGGGGCCTCTGAATCGCCCTGCCACCTACATCAACACCATCTAGATCGCCCTCCTACCGCCTACACAGCCCACAGTTTCCGTAGCGCCTCCACTGTTGCTGTGCGGAGAGTTTAACGTTGCGAGTCCTTAGTCCATTTTTGGTGTCACATCCTAGACCAAGCTGGTACTAAACCGGTCCCAAGTGATGTATCATGTCTAGCCTAAATTTGGGTTTGGTACTTGCTTTAGGAGATTTTTGGAAGTCTTTCATTGCATTTCTATAGGTGACTTATAGTTTGTACAGTATTAAACCCACGCTTTATCTACCTATAAATATACTCAAATTACATTCTACCTTAATTAGGTCACTTCGCTAAAGAGGGGACCTGTGAACTGCCGCTCACTGAGAGTTGGTATACTCTCGGAAGCTAACTTCCTCTAGCGCAAGGTGCTGTGTGACCCCGTTACACTTGGTAGCACTAGTAGTCAATCCACGCCGCCGCGGGTAGACTACCTGAACCTCTCCGAAGTTCGTTGCCATGGACAGGAACGACTTCTCCCATCTGAGCGTCTCTCAGTTCGAGTCGGTTCGGAAGATGGCAGGCATCTTCGGGATAGAGGCCCTGCAGAGCCTGGTGGTGTCAACACCGGCCGAGCAGCTCGAGCGCGTCAATGCGTTTGACGCGTACAAGCAGGGCCTCATCGCGCATGTGCGGGAAAACTTGCAGGCTCCGGCGGCGGAAGCAAATCCGCCTCACCCGAAGCCAATACGGCTGAAGGTAAAGCCGTACGAAGGGAAGGAAGGCGAGAGCCTTCACTTCTGGGTCCGAGAAGTAGAGCTAGCGATGGACGCGGCTCTGATCTCGACCGAGCAACTTCGTATTGCTTTTGCACTCTCCAACCTTAGCAGCCGTGCTAAGAGTTGGGTGTACACACGGGAAGCAACATCCTCTGGATGTTTCACATCCTGGGCTCAGCTGTGTGAACAGCTCCGAGCCGCGTTCCTCCCGGCGAACTACGAGTACCGCCAGCGTTCGCGCTTCCTCTCGTGCAAACAAGGGAGGCGCGAGCTGCACGAGTATGTGCAAGAGATACGGGAGCTCACGGCGTCCCTACTGGAAAACCCACTCAACGAACACATCAAGATGACTGTGTTTATGGACGGCCTTCGAGTGGTCCCCGCACGCACTCAGCTGTTCCGGATGCAGTCAAACACCCTTGAAGAGGCGATTCTAGTGGCCCTTCAGGAAGCGTACAGCCATCACCAGACGCGTACGCCGGCCTCAGCGTGGCCTGGGAGTTCCATGTCGACTCCCGGTGGAACGAGCCCCAACGGACCAGTTCCCATGGAACTCGGGTGCGCCGAACAGCGTGACATCCGCTGCTTCGGCTGCGGGAAGATGGGCCACTTCAAGCGCGACTGTCCCGCGGAAAGACTCCGCAGACGGTCTTTCCCCAAGCCCATCCTCAAGGGTCGCTGGCAGAAGTCAGGATCCCGGGGACAGGGGAGCGCCGGAAACCAGTAGGGCGGGGCGCCCTACTGGGGAAGAACTAAGTCTTCGTGATGGGTGCGCGGGTGGCGCGTACCACGGGGACTAAGCCCCTGAGAGTCTTCGCACTCTCGAATCGGCGAAGAGCAGCGGCGCGTTGCTCGTAGTACACGGTCGTGTACGGGGATGCGATCATCCCTTTAGAATCTTGATCGATTCTGGGGCGTCGAAGAATTTCGCACGCCGCCAGACAGTTGCTCGTAATAGCAACAAGTTGTCCGATGCTTTGAGAGAAAGCAAGGGCAACGGGACGGTGTCAGTGCGACTGGCCGACGGGAAGGTCGTCACTGTCCCCAATGTCCAAGTGGATCTGGCCGTCAAGTTTGAAGACTTTGACAGCCTCGAACAGTTCACTGTTCTCGATATCGATCCATATGATATGCTCCTGGGCATGCCCTGAGCCCTGGATTGACTGGCGAGGCAAGGCAATCGATGCCAGCCGCCCTGCGCAGTCCGACACAGCATTGGTGAGTCATGTTCCCACCTCTGTCAGGACCCGGGGCGCCCGCAAGGGCTGCCAGGGTACCAAAGCATTCGGCAGATGCTTGGGAGTCGTCGACGTATATGACGACTCCGAGGATGTTTTTATTGTGGCAGCGCCCAGAGGAGCGCTGGCCAAGTGGGTAACTTAGGCCCACAAGCGGGTAACTTAGTTCCGCAGACAGCTGTAGCTGTCACGAACACCGAGAACAGCGTGTTCAGAGTGAGTAACAGAGTTCCACACACGGTCGTCCATACCTTAACTGAAGAGGAAGACGTCGGATACGCTTCCTGTGTGGGTAACGCAGTGCCACACGCGGTCGCCCAGACCTTAACTGAAGAGGAAGGCGTCGAACACGCTTCCTGTGTGAATACCATAGTAACACACGAGGCCACGAGTGCCTCGGATATCGCAGCGCCGACATCCCCAGACGTGGGCAGCAAAGCTCCACGTCACGGTCGCCGTCGTCAACTACGCCGCCGCCGCCTCAAGCTGGATCCGAACCTCGTTCAGATCGACGTCGTTTCAAGCGACTCGGAGTCCAGAGACCGGGCTCCTCCGACAAGGCCTGTGGAAAAGTGTTATCACATCTTCGATGGCGAGACCGGTTTACCCGTCAAGGCAGCTGGTGTCCACTTGGAACCGCTGCCAGAGGTTGCAGAGATACAGAACCTCGAGGAAATGACGATTGAGTCTTTCCTGGCCAACCTCAAGGCTGGAGAGATTGCTGAGATGGTGCTCATGAGACCTGAGACCACTCGGAAGGAGCTGAGCTCATCCTCTGTCTTTGACGAGAACGTCCTGGAAGACCTAAACAAGCAGCGTCAGACGTGCTTGGGTTCTGAGATCCTTAAGAACCCCAACGATCTGGTGTATCCTTTGGTGACGGAGTATGCGGACGTGGTGAACAAACACCCACCGACCCAACTCCCACCGGATCGAGGCGTACAGCATGATATTGATCTCGTGTCTGGCAAAAAGTATTGTGTAACGAGGCAATGGCCTCTCCCGCGCGAGCAGTGCGAGGTCATTGATGCCTTCTTCGCCACGAAACCGAAGGCAGGCATGGTGCGGGAGTCGAAATCCCCGCACTCGACGCCAACTTTTTGTGTCCGGAAGCCGAACGGAAAGTGGCGTCTAGTTCATGCTTATAACAAGCTGAACAACGCGACGGTGCCGCCCAAACACCAATCCCGCGAAAGGATGTGTTGTTAAACAACATGGCCGGGAGCGTATTGTACAATGCGCTGGATTTGGTAGACGGATACTACCAGATCCTGATGCGAGAGAGTGACATCCCGCTCACCGCGGTGAGCACTTCAAGCGGCATGCTTTGGGAGTGGCTCGTCATGCCGCAGGGCCTGTCTAACGCCCCGGCGACGTTCAATCGCCTGGTGACGCAATTGTTCCGCCCTTTGCGTACCTTCGTACAGACGTACTTCGACGACATATTCGTCCATAGCGGTGCCGAGGGAGGCAAGACGGCCATGGAGGTGCATCTGGGGCACCTCCGTCGAGTGTTGGACGTAATGCGAGCAAACAAGCTCTACGCCAACATCGACAAGTGCGTTTTCGCGTCACCAGAGATTAAAGTTCTTGGTTGCTTCGTAAGCAACGTGGGCGTTCGGGCTGACGCTCAACTTGGTATTCATATAGGCTTCCACTTGTTTCCGCAGCGAAACTGGTCTCACATCCGAGACCTGGGAGGAAACAGCTTTCCGAGCCTCTCCCCCACTTAGAATAGAGGAGTCGGCGTCTCCTCGAAGAGTGAGATGTGGTGTTGGAAATCCCACGTGAACTCTAGCTACAGATGTAGTTAGGATGTTCCCACAACAATACGTCTACTAGGATAGTAAACGATCGTTCGGGCGGACCTGAAGACCCCAGTTCTGCCCTTGCACCGGGACAAACTGGACCTTGTAAACTACTTATATAGGCCAACCAGTAAAATAAGAACACGCTACTAGCACGAGCAAAGCTAGCAGGTGTTTTGAATCCTCGTGGTCCCAACAGCGGAAGGGTACCAGGCACGGGTAAGCCTTTTACGAGATCACCGAGTGTTCAACACTCGGCTGGAAGAAATAAAAGGGAGGCAATTCAAGCACTCCCAGTCGTGCAAATAGGCAACAATAAGCCGTCACGTAAAACCTCCCGATAATAATCGGCCAATACACAAAGTCTCTTGGCCTTGCCGGATGAACCCTCGCTACAGAGCTTCGAGTTCACCGACAGGCATAGCACACTCAAACAAGCTTGACCTGACGCTTACCTTGAAGCCGGACGTCGCTCTGTGTGCTTGAGTGAAAATTCTGTTCTGTATTTAAGCTTACCCTTTCGGGTCTATTCCTAATAAGAAGTCCTAATCAAGTATACAAATATCAAGTGAACAATGATCCGTTATGGATCTTCTTGCATGCCAAGCGTCGTCTGCACTGTCGCATGAGCATCTTTAACGGTCCGCGCCCTGTCC